GTATTCAAAATGTGGGCGTACCATGGATTTATATAGAGGCAACATGATATTTTCTGTGCTATTATCTATCCCTTTCTTAATTATTCCCAGCATTCTGTTCGCTTTTTTGACTGCTGCTGCACATTGAGTGAATGTTTTCAAAGAACTATCCACAATGACTCCAAGATCTCTTTCTTGAGTGGTAACAGCTAATTTAGATCCCATCATTTTATATGTATAGTTGGGATTATGCTTTCCAATGTGCATTACTTTGCATTTATCAACATTGAATTTCATCTGCTATTTTGTTGCCCAGTCATCCAGTTTTGAGAAATCCTTTTGTAGCTCTTCGCAGTCTGCCTGGGTCTTAACTATCTTTAGTAATGGTGTATCATCTGCACATTTTGCCACCTCACTGTTTACCCCTTTTTCCAGATCATTTATGAATATGTTGAATAGGACTGGTCCCAGAACAGACCCCTGCAGGACACCACTATTTACCTCTCTCCATTCTGAGAACTGACCATTTATACCAAACCTTTGTTTCCTATCTTTTAACCAGTTACCAATCCATGAGAGCACCTTTCCTCTTATCCTGTGGCAGCTTACTTTGCATAAGAGCCTTTGGTGAGGGACCTTGTCAAAGGCTTTCTGAAAATCTAAGTATACTATATCCACTGGATCCCCTTGGTCCACATGGTTGTTGATCCCCTCAAAGAATTCTAGTAGATTGGTGAGGCATGACTTCCCTTTACTAAAACCATGTTGGGTTTGGGTTAAACCTCATTGAAACTGCTGGATATTAATAGTTGCCCTTCATTTGGGGAAAAATGTAAAGAACAATTGAGCTACTTTATAGTATAGATGGATAAAACAATAGGGGCCTTTGCCCAGAACAAAGCCACATCCAAAGCTGGAGTAGGTTTTAGCCATGTGGCAGGAGGTCCCTCTGTGATCTTGGGGGCAGGGTTTGAATGGACTCGAGTGGTGTGTATCACTGCTTCCCTTTAACAAACACCACAGAAACAGACACAGAAAAGAAGACAGCAGAACAAGGAGTTGGAGGATGGCCCTGAGAAAAAGCCTTTTGTGCTAAGCGCTGGCTAGAAAGGGTCTTGGAATTGTGAGCAAAGTAACTGTGTCTTGCTGTGTATAGGGAAACAGGAATTGGTACATTTCTAGTAAATAAACAGATTACATCAAAGAAATACCTGATTCCATCATCAATTTCTCCACCCAACTGAAACAACTCTCAGGGGGCCAAATATTGCCAAAGTGCTCAGGGGGCAACAATATATATTTTTTCAAAAATGGCAGAATGTAATGAACATTTTTTAAAAATCACCTTAGTCAGACACCCAATGTTGAAATTTCAGCTTCAAAACAGAATTTTTCAGAAAGCTATCAAGTCCAAAAGGAAGTTGTAATGGAAACTCTTGAAATTTAAACTATTTTTGTTGCTCCTGTTGACTGGTATACTTTCATATTCGTTGAAAAAAACAAACCAACAATTATCTATAGTGCCACTTTTAGAAGGAAACTAATAGCTTTGAAGAGATCAAAAGAAAAACCATGTGGGACATAAAGATCAAAGCTTAGAATTGTATTCATTTTGGAGTTATAGATTCAATTTTGGTTTGTTTATTTTACAGGCCTGCCAACTCTTACCTAATTGGAGGGAAGACATCTTTGTCATTTTGGATTAGTTTTAATGACATGTAAAAAGTATCTCCTTCTTGTGACAAAGAATTTGGCTATGTGTTTCAATGAGACCATTAAAATCTCATTTAGTATATTATTTCTGAAGTCTCACAACATTAAAACTCATACACACAGCTTGAGACAGAGTTCAGTATTCATATTTTGCACCTGCTCTCTCCATGCAATACCTTCACTTTCAAGATCAATCCCAGTCAAATTTAGGGTAAACATGAAACAAAACTGAAGTAAATCTTTAAAGAAGTGGAAATTAATCCCATCATTTGTGGGGGAGGCTCTCTTATTGGAGATTAATTTTAAAGCAGTTTTAAGGCATCAGTTTTACTCTTGTGATAAAGGATTTTGTAGTATGTTTCAATAAGACACTTAAAATCTCACTCAGGATTATTTTGAACACTCTTTCTGGACCACCCTTGGACATTCCCAGAGAAACAAGATTCTAACTAACCTGCCAAAGAAGTGTCTTGACATGTATTATCCGTAAGATTATGAAAACGTATTGGATTCCTGTCCCAAAACAGGCAGATTAATTCTTCCTAGCTATTCACTTCACCTTTCTGGCGGGATAGTTCAATGTAAAGCTACTGATTTGCCTGTAGATTCAGTTTATTCCAGCTCCTTTAAAACTTGCTTTTCCTTAGGAAAAGCATTGTGACTTTTCTCAGCATTGTGTTGTTTTCTCTAATCACCCGATCACTTATTTGTGACAGTCTTTGAAAGTCCCTTAATTCGTTCTATATTTTTTGTCAAGGTCATAGTATCTCATGCAACTGGGAAATGTTTTCAAGGTTACTTAATCATCACTCTGCAACACTTTTTCATACTCAGTTGGTGACTTTCCCATTTTACCCCTGAATCCTTACTGGGGATACCTTCCAATGCGTATTGGATCCTCAGACCTCACATGCTTTACATGAACTACTACTCAGATCCCATTCAGTGATGATATCCCCACTTCCCTGGATACTTGGTCAGTGAGTTTTCCACCAGGCAATGCTTTCCCATACATTCACAAGCACGTTTCAGTGACGCTTAAGAATCCTATGTGCCCTCTGCCCCTCTGGACCCACCTTTGGTGGTGTTTCCCCACCCGCATACCAGACTCCTAGTCAATGGCCTTTGCCAGGCCACCCCTCTGGATCCCCGACCGCTAACAGATCCGTAGACTCTCCCCAGGCTTCGCGTTACCCCGACAGCCCGTTGAGTTGCCTTATCTGCGTGCGAGCCGGAGCAGCAACAGCCCGGTAGGCAGCTAGCAGTGGGGTGGGGGCGCTGACGGAGGCCACGGGCAGGGCCTCCTTCCCTCGTTCACCCACCTCCTTCCGGGTGACGATCAGCTGGTAGAAGTCCTTGCTGGGGGCCGGAGCCTGCGCGCGGGTCTCGAACAGGTCCTCCTGCAGTAGAGACGCCATTTTGGGACGCTGGCAAGAGGGACTATGGCAACCAGGAAGGGGCGGGCATCACGAGAGGTCACTGGGAGCCCAGCCCCCTCTTAAAGGGGCCGGGTGGATATTAACGCTCTAGCCCAGCGGGGTCTTCGCCCCAGCGGCGAGGAGGGTCCCGTACACCCCTTCGTTGGTAAAAACAGTCCCTCCAGCCCCGCTGACCTGAGGGGAAATACTTGCATGGACCCAGGGGTGACGACCCCGGCGGAAGGATACCGCTCGCTAGGCCAAGAAACGCCTGCCAGCGCAGGGAACCAGGACGAGCAAACAGCCGGTCCAGGGGCTTCGCGGGGGTCGGCCAGTCGGGCAGGGGGAGCGCATTTAGGCAGGGGGGACGGGCAGGGGCTGCGGGCCCCATTGGGGGGTTAAGTAGTCCCCAGCCTCCCCCTGTGCCACTGGAAGGGGTTCGGCTGCGGAGGCGGACGAAGCGCTGGTCGGTGCTGCGGCTTCAGCTGATAATTGAAGGGAAGGGAAGCTGCTGTTGGGGTGGCACGGAGCGTCTGCGGAGGCCGCATCGGGACAAACTAGGTACATGGGACCCCCTTCCCTTTTCCTGGGCACTGAGGATCTGACGGGGGGTGCTGGGCCCCCTCAACTGCCCTAGGCTCTCTTGGTCAGGCCTGCTGTGTCACCCCCGATATGAGCTCAGCTGCCTGTCCCCGTCTACCCGGGGCAGGGGGGAGGGGAGACGCGCCATCCTAGGCATTGTTTGTGGAAGAGTGAGGGCTGGGGCCTGGGGGGAGGCGTAAAGATCGGGGGAGGGAGAGATGCTACGGGGGGCGGGTGGAAGGGCCGACGAGGGCCCTGGGTTTAATAATGGGATTCTGGTGGTGAGGCCCTCACTGAGGAAGGAGAAGGGGAAGGGATGAGGGGGTGGAGGTGGTAGAAATGGAACTGACAAAATGGCCAAGCAGCCACTGGAAGCTGACTTCAGTACACCCCCACCGCCCCCAAAATATTCACGGGGAAGGGGAGAGGAGAGAAGCTGCCCCCAGTCCCTGCCTCACGCAATGTTCCCGACAGCCCGGAGCCCCAAGGTGGGGGACTCTCCTCCGCACCAGCTACGACTAGCTCTGTGGCCTGTGTAGTTGCTAATACAAAAGGCTACTGTCAGGGTTGACGCTACTGAACCCGATTTGTATTTGTCTCCCTCCATATGAACCCCCTTTCCCTGTTGCAGTTATACTTATTTTTTAAGGAGCTATTGAGTTTCCTTTTTTATAATAGCAACAAAAATCCCAGCCGGAGAAAGAAAAGGCAAAATAATCAGCCGCCGTCCATATTTCCTAGGCGGGGGGATAGGGTGTTGATTCGAGTTACAATACTGACTACCCACTACAGGATTATTTCCACCCGCATCGGTTGAGAGTTGATTTCCCCCCCCTTTTTTATTTTTATTTTTTGTTGCTTTCAGTGAAGTAACTAATCCCTTGGTCCTGCCGTTTGTTTGCATAATACTCACACGTAAATTCTCTCTTCCCCCGTCACCCCCCTTACTGCTAGTCCCGTGATACCGTATAGGTGAGCGTGGCTGGGTATTGGGGAGCCGTGAATATTTTTTTTGTGGTGCTTACAGCACTCGCGCCGATCCCTTCCTAGCTGCTGCCCTGGCTGTCTGGGGCTGGTAAACAAACCGATGCCGGGGCTTTTACCAGACCTGCAGGCCCATCTTCCTGCTGTTCAACTTTTTTATTGTTCCCCCTCCCCCCGCCTCCTAATGCACTGGCTCATCGGGTTTCTCCGCAGTTGGGTGTTTTAAGGGATCGGGAGTCTGAAAGTCTAGACTGTGAACCGGAAAATAATAGGGGGGAAGAGTGGAAAGTTGTGTCACGGGCTTTGGGGGAAAAACATCGACGTATGGAACAAAGGTCCTGCCTGAAATGGAGAGAGAGAGGCCTGCATGTGAGGCCCGATTGTGTCGCATTTACACAAGGGGAAAGAAATGAGAGCTTGGCATTGGCTTAAATTCACCTCGTAAGTCTGGCATACAGTTTGGAAACGCCTTTAGAGTGCGTTCGGTTTATTTTCAGGGTGGTTTTGATATGTGCAGCCATCCACTAATCATCCTAATTCAGGGTGAGTTTCAGTGTAACCAGTCTTCTTTCTTCATCCTGTTCAGCAGCCCTATTGATACACTGGATTTAAGGCCACATCATAAAAGTTTACTTTCTGAAAAGGGTGACTTTCTGAATTTTTCTATTTGAGAGCATAAACTTAAATTTATACTTGAATATTGAGTTTCATGGAGTTCTCAGGGCTGTCATCTTTTGACAGGGCAACTTGAATAAGGGATACTGAATTAAGAAACACAGCCAAATCCTTTATCACAAGAGAGAGAAACTTTAAAAACGAAATTAAAAATACAAAATGAAGGAGTTTTCCTCAATGAATAACATTTGTTTTGTCTCTGTACATATGTACAAGTAGAAATAGCATGTATAGGTCAAGCATCAGCTAACAATCTTATAATTAAGGGTGTCATTATTTCCACTGTGTACCCTATTTTCTTTTTTTCCCCCTTATCCCCAGGAGTTCTGAGATTTGGTGGCTATTGTTAAAAAGACCCCTGAATTCTCGATATTTATATTCTTAATGATTTTTTAAAAGTGTCTGATGTTTAAAGTTAAACTGTCATTTAACATATTAAAAGGCTAAAATTGCCAGATGAGTACAATGAGCCTAAAAGCAACATTTTAGTGTGTAAATATTGTAAATAAGGCAGTCTATTGAGACGGCTAATTACTAATCAGTATTCAGAATTGTCTAACAAACTGTGTGGTAAGCTTTAATTTTTATTTACCACACTTACTAAATTTCTAAAAGGCTCTCAGTTATGGACTTCAAGTGCATGTACATTTATGTTCCTTCTATAAAATGAAAGAACACTTCCTCTAAAACTTGCTGCACCCACAAAGCCTCCCATCCTTAGAAGCCTCAGGAAAAGAGATGGGCTGGCTCATCATTTCACTCCCTGATTGTCAGACCAACTTGAGAAATGAATTTGCATCACTGTTGCGCTTCCTGGGAGAGCATAGTCTCAAACCTCAAGATGGTTAACATTCAGGGGCTGTGAACAAACAGCTGTTTAAGACACAATATCGACAGCTTCAGCACAGCAAAGACCCCACAATTTTCAGGATTTTATAAATCAGCTAATGCTCCTCTTTCAGAGGAAGGAATGGAACCAATTAAGTACTACTCCAGCCAGGGACCACAGGCTTGGTGCCAGTGTTTTGTTTCTGTGAACATTATTTATCTCTTCAAAACTAGACCCTGAAAGCACTCTAAGATAACATTTAGTCTGAAGCTTCAAAAGCAAGGAAATTTCTAATTGTATCTAAGATGCAAAGTCTTGGATAACAAAACATGAATTGCAAAAGCCTCTAATATATGATATATTGCAACATCTAGGCAGAAAAGGTTTAAAAAAATCAGCTTTGAGTTTTCTTGCCCCTGTTTAGCTATCAGATCCTTAAGACTTTGAGGCCTGTTTACACTACTAATATAACCAGTAAGATAATCTGGCTGTACAACAGTTGTTCCCTTAAACCATGTTATCTAGCTTAGTTGGGAACTAAGTTAGGGTGTCTCTGTGCTATATGTTGTGATTCAGGATTCCAGGTTTGCTTGTATTTGTAGGGTAGATGGGGGCCTAAATACAGCTTTGGTAGTTTTGCCTAAACAATAGGCTGTAACAACTAAAGATTAAAGATTCCAAAGACTAAGTAACACAACTTCTAACCACCTAAGAAACCTATTAAATGGTGGGTAC